CTCGAGGATTAGAGATCTTCTCTAAAAGTTGGCTTCCAGAGACAAGCCCCCCCAAAGCCATGGTATACTTCTGTCATGGTTATGGTGATACATGCACATTTTTTGTTGAAGGTTTGTGGTTGGCAAACACGTATTAAGTCTCAGACTAGTATTTCTTGGGAGATTGTTCCTGAAACTTGTCTTCCTTCTTAGGCATTGCAAGAAAACTAGCATCTTCCGGTTATGGAGTATTTGCCATGGATTATCCTGGATTTGGTCTTTCAGAAGGTCTTCATGGCTATATACCAAGTTTTGACAAGTTAGTTGATGATGTCATTGAGCATTACTCGAAGGCGAAAGGTACAACTTGCCCCAGTCAACTTATTTTTCATCTCATGGATTCTTTTTGATAGGTCCGAGACTCTGGTAAAATGTAGAAGCCAGAATTAATTAGTTGAGGAAAAGATATACCAACTTAAGAATAACAAAATTTGATGAATTCAAAAGCTAAGATTTGAACGCATGAAAAGACAATATTTAAATCAAACATTCACTTGGAAGAGACTATCCTTTTGAGCTAAGCAATGCATGAGCTTAAAGTGTCTTGCTAATGGAGTAACATTCATCTGTTTGATTGAACTTCTGGTACTTTCTTTCTAAAAAAATGTTGAGTTCAGTTTATTATGGTCATAAATGAATAGTCCATTTTTTCAAGAAGAAAGATTGAGAGAGTGAACTATTTGAAAAATGTATGTTGTGATTTTGTTCCTTGTAGAATGAAACAGAAGGCCTCAAAGTTTGATGGTCTATGTAACTGTGCGACAAACTAAAAGATCATACCCTATTACTGTTCCAAATCAAGTTTGAACTCACAAATTCATTATTTATTCATGACTTGGAGCATAACTCACGGTGCTAAGTTACCTCATCCTTCTTCATTTTTGTCAAGCAATGTTGATGACTAGGTCATTAAACGATGAACAGCAGAGCCCCCGTGTGTTCCTTCCACATTCTAAAACGTTTAGGTATGAAGAAGTCTGTCATGTACACCAATTAAACACCCTCCCTTGTTATTCTATATTTCCGCTCCTACTTTGACACTAGGTATGTAATTAATGAGTAAATTTGAATATATACTTGGAAATAAGAGGACCCAAATTGGACAGTGGTGAAGCCACGGTGACAGAAGGGGTTCAACTGATTCCCCTTGGCCAAAAAATTGTACTATATATGCAGCTGTATAAAAAGTCTTCTTTATGTGCATATATATAAATTGTTGAATCCCATAGGCACAAGAGAGCATTTCTTTAGATCTCCTTAAGGAAAGCAAGAATTGTATTGAGAAAACCTAGAGCGGAGTTTAAATAAACACTACGGGAACAGAGGGAAAACTTGTTTGGCAGTTGAATGAAACCAAATTAGTGTCAGTCATTCGAGTTGATCTTCTAAGTATTAGCAGGGGCTTTGAACGTTGGGCATGCTGACAATGTTGGAACTGATCACTATTGGTCAAGTCCCATTATGATGTGCCATCTCCTAAGGCAATCGGATAGTGAAGTAGAATAGATTCATCTTTCATACCAGAGATTTTTAGGCATACCATATGCAATGTGTTGCTCATTTTTGGAGATGGGGGAATTATAACACAGATGTTGTCCTGTATTAACCAAGTTTATAAATCTGATGTCTCCGTGAATGTATTATACCTAATATACGTCTGGGCAAGAGGTCTCAAAATCAAGTAGTGGAAAATAACCTAATTACATCTTATTCTTCTTGACACACTACTGAAAAAGCAATTGACAGTTAAACGCTGGCTACAGAAAATCCAGAGATACGCAACCTACCAAGCTTCCTATTTGGGCAATCAATGGGTGGAGCAGTAGCTCTGAAGGTGCACATGAAGCAACCTGATGCATGGAACGGCGCTGTTCTTGTCGCACCAATGTGCAAAGTAAGCTTCTGGAGACTATTCTGAATTCTAATTGATGTTATCGTCTTAATTAGATCGATAGTTTTGAGTGATGAGTGGTATTGTTGTACAGATTGCAGATGACATGGTACCACCATGGTTAGTTACACAAATTCTAGTGGGCATAGCAAAATTTCTTCCAAAGCAAAAGCTAGTTCCGCAGCAGGATCTAGCAGAGTTAGCATTCAGAGATGTGAAGAAGAGAGAACAGGTATGTGTTCTTTCTATTCTGTAACAGCTCTTAGACATATGTCAATTTTAGGACGGAAAGAGTACATGATATTAGAGGTTAGTAGCACAAGAGTCGTTTAAAAATTTATAGTCGTCATTAGCTCTCTCACCTGAAAAAAAAGGCGTGTTAAAAGGCTTCCAATAGGAAAATTTTGATTTATTGAACATAATAATTACAATCACAGGCTTCAACATGTTTATATCTCGTGGGATTTCATGTTATAATGTACTCTCTACTGTTTTCTTCTGCATGCAGGCTGCATATAATGTCATTGCTTACAAGCACAAACCCCGTCTACAAACTGCAGTGGAGTTACTTAATACCACCCAAGAATTAGAGAAACAACTTGATAAGGTGTTATGTGTTTTCATTTTCTGTTTATCGTAGTATTGATTATCATCATATTTACTGTTTATTAGTGATTGGACCTTGTGTCTTTGCATGCTAGTAAGTCTATGATTGGAAACTTGAAACTCCATTGTCCTAGCTGCATATCTTTGTTGGTGTTGCTAACTGTTTCTGGTGATTATACCTGCCACTGTTTTTGACTTTGTAATTCATTCAAGATGGTTCATCTTTTTCTGCTCTTGTAGTTCAGAAAGAGTTCAAGCTCATTTAGCTTGACAAATACTATAGAAAAGGCAACCTTTTCTTAGGCTAGACTTCAAATGTACCTTATTCTTTGATAGACAAGATATCTGAACAACAACTAACAGTTTTACGATTTTGTAGGTCTATCTGCCATTGCTAATATTACATGGAGAGAATGACAGAGTGACTGATCCATCCATCAGCAAAGCATTGTACGAGAAGGCAAGTAGTTCGGACAAGAAACTGATCCTTTACAAGGATGCTTATCATTCTTTGCTCGAGGGTGAACCGGATGATATGATACTTCGAGTTCTTGGTGACATAATTTCTTGGTTGGATGAGCATACTTCCTAGTAATTACTTGTCCAATTTTTATTTTTTTCAGTTTGGTTCTGCCCAATTTTTTCATGGATTAGGAAGGCCAAGGGATAGGAGCTGAAGTAAGAAACTAAGATTTAGCCTGATGTGCTTCCTGCCCCTCTATTTTATTTATTTTTCAACTTATTATTTTGTAAAGAAAAAAATATTGAAGATATGAATGTTCTATATGAAATAAAAAGCAATGCGTTTTATCTCTCTTGTTTGAAAAATTTTGCTTCAGAAGTGTGTAAAAATCTTGAGTTCGAAAACAACAAAAAAAAAAGTGAACTAATGATAAGTGTACGTGATCAAATAAGTAATATACAAATTATTAAGCCAAAAGATTTATGATTAGCAAATATCTAGTTTTTCTTTTGACTATAATTAAATGCCAAGTGAGTTTGAATATTGTATTTCTAACTAGCAATTGCAATAAATAAATTATAAAAGTAAATAACAATGATTCAAATTCAATTAGGTTTTTATTTGAGCTAAGTGGATATTGTATTTGACCTCGAAGTCTACTCAATTTAACAAGAACCACTTGAAATTTTTCAAAGTAAGACTTCAACATCCTTTAACAATATAATTTTCAACACAACTCCAAATCACTTGATATTTTTAACATAGTTTCAAAAAATACTAGGAAACAAAAACACGAATCAAAGCAGATTTTCACAATTTTGGGATTGGTTTCTGTTTTTTTTTTACATTATTTAAATATGGGTGTATCTTTTTCAACTCCACAAGTGAATATCAAATTTTGGCTTTTTAACAAAAAAAAATATTGAGGTAATCTCGTGAAGAATTGAAGAAGTAGGAATTTTGAAAGTTTTTGATGTTATGCATGTGTCCATGGTGTTTTTGAGTAAAAAGAGTACATTTGTTCTAAAATTTCAAGTGAAAAGTTGTTTGGCATTGAGGTAAAAAGTGATTCACAAAAACAAAGTTAAAAAGTAATTGCACGGATGAGTCTTTTCTCAAACGACAATAGCACAGATGAGCCAAATTTTAATGGATAACATAAATTAGTCTTTTCACAAAGTTCAATGACATATTTGAGCATTTTCTCTTTTATCAATGATTTGAGAAATTTTAGGCTCCACCTTAGACTATGAATTCATGCAAAGTATTTTCTCCTTTAGAATCCGAGTGACTCACGAGGTTAATAATATCATTATGATCTTTCAAACCTCTAACCACCTATCACAATTGATAATCTAACTACATCACTAAACGAAAATAGATTTAATCAATTATGGAGTATCAAGATTTATCTTCTCGTTCCTGAATCAAACAAGATAAATTAGGTAAATATTCATCATAGATACAAATCAGTCCTAGTTTTTAAATCTTGCTTCTTGTATTCAAGTCCTATCTCTCAATTCTTCTCTAGAGTTCAAGAAAACACAAAAAATATATTTTAATGACAGATCAAGTATTAAATTAATAAAATAAAAACACAAGAATAAATTTAATGATACTTAATTTTTATCTAAAGTTTAAATACTAAACAATCATTTATAGCTATAATCCTAAAAAAATTATATGTTCATGTGCGCAAAAAGGTGTAAAGTAGCACCAAGGAGTAAGTGCTTAAACAACTTTCCGTCCAAATAGAGGTGTGTGGTCGGATTTGGCAAATTCTCAACTAACATCACAAAATGCAATATATTATTAACATTATTAGTCACTTCATGATTTCTTTATTTGCACCAAACTTTGAGTTGCTTCTAAAGCTAAAAATAAATTATACTTTTTGTTGCTTCTGTTTTTCTCATTATTGTTGCAACTTCAACAACAATAAAGCATGTACTTCTCTTCTTCTTCCCATGTTTCACTCAAGGTATGCTCTTTCTTTCTTTCTGCTTCTATGTCTTGCTCTCTGTTTCTGTTTTAGCTCTGATATGTTTTTTGCCTCTCAAAAGGGCCTCCACAGTCATCCACTGTTTCTTGCTGGGTATTGATATTTAGTTGAGTTGTTTGATCAGTTTATAAGCTTGATATTTAGTTGAGTTGTTTGATCAGTTTATAAGCTTGAACGAACGCCCTCGTGATGCTTTAGGAAGATATTGTTAGCCCACAAGTTAGGGCTTATTCCCACTGAAAAATAGTCGGTACATATTTTGATTGAATCGATGAGAAAAAGAAAAAAGTAATAATCTTTTAGTATAGAAAAATTAGGAAGTTTCCCACTATTATGATTCGTAGTGGGAAACGCTTGTGTTTCTAGTAATGACGTGGGAATAGCCTCTTTTCGAAATACAAGAAGTGTGTACAGTGTATATATGCCCACTCTTTCCCTCTGCTGGCACTAGCAGAAGTCCTTTTTGCACAGGGTAAGCTCTTAGGTTCACATTATTGAGTTACAGGCAACCAGAAATGGAAATTTACGCTAACTTCTTCGTTGGAAGAGATGTTGGCGAAGGCCACAAAGCTAGAAGGGCATTTTGTCATCTTAACCAACGTGCACGTGCAATGATGTGAAATCCAATATCTTCGTCTACAATTACTTGTCGTAACACGTTTCTGCTCTAAGACTTTCTCTCAACATATCTGTAAGCAGGGAGTCCGCATTCACTATTAAGCCTACATAGATGTGGAGATTATTGAAGATTGAGGCACTAGCTAAATGAAGGTGTTTTAGATCAATGTGAGGTCTAGCACACCTTTCGGAATAGGACTACAAATAAATAAGGTTTTGCAATGCATTGAACCTGAACAAGTTGGAGGCTACAACGAAATTTAACTGCTTTTCACGCAGTCATTTTTGTTTATCAGTCTATAATTTCATTTCCTGAAACGAACCATTACTTGTTGCAGATGAACTGCTGGGCACCGGCCTTGGCGTCAAAAGTCCCTCTGAATACCAGGAGAAACCAGACTGCCTCTCCTGCTCTTAGACAAATGAAGTCTGACCTTTTAAGTCAACGTATTGGTGGATTTGGAACCAATCTTAGCAGTGGAGGGAGTTCTCTGGGAGGATCAAGAATCATTACTCAACTAAATCTTCAAAGAACTCTTTCGCGAAGAAAAAGTCCTATGGTGTCTGCTTGCTGTAAATTACTTTCTTACAAACCCCATTCTTTGTAATAAATTATCTATTGTTTTAAATGTTCATGAGAAAGTAGTTTTAGATGTGTGTTTGATTGAGTTATTGCTGCAGTTGGGAAGTATTGTCTCATTCATTGCCCTTTTTTTGTTTATCTGGAGAATAAGATTGTTTTTAAAGCTAATCTTCTGTACAGTTTAGCTTCTGGTTTTGGCAGACTTTTATGCCAACTACTGACATTGGTCAAGCTTTTAGTTGAGTTTCTATGTTCTTTTGTAGGGGTGCCAAGTTCAGAAGTTGCATCTACTGCTTTCACAGTGGGAACAGCAGCAGTTCTTCCGTTTTATACCGTCATGGTTGTGGCTCCTAAAGCTGAACTTGTAAGGTTTTTTAAGTACTGTCAATCTGAACTTCTTAAGGATTTCTTTTCCAGTGTACTGAAGATTAAACTTCCACTCATATTATGAATTCAAAAGATTTTTCTAAATTAAACACTTACCAGCTTCAGACAAAGTAGAACGGTTAGGGCACAACTTCAGTCCTTGTCTTGTGTATATGAAAGTCATTGTTTTATTTCAATGAGAAGTTGTAACTGAACATAATTTCAAATGCAGACCAGAAAAGCGATGAAAAGCAGCATACCCTACATTGTGCTTGGACTTCTGTACGCATATCTATTATACCTCTCCTGGACACCAGATACAATTCGGCTGATGTTTGCTAGTAAATACTGGCTCCCGGAGGTCTGTGCTCAACCACATAATAATTTGTCAAAACTGCATTATCGGGATCTTAACACTTCCTTTCATTCAGCTGTCTGGTATAGCGAAGATGTTCTCCAATGAAGTGACGTTAGCTTCTGCATGGATTCATCTGTTGGCCATTGATCTTTTTGCTGCAAGGTCAATCTCTAGGCATCTTATCTTTGTTGGCCTATGCCCCTTCGTTTTTTTCTTTTGTATAACATGAGGAGGATGCCATAGTTAGACATCTCACTTGGAGTATTTCACTTGAAACAGGCAGGTTTATCATGATGGATTGCAGAATGATATCGAAACCCGCCATTCTGTGTCTCTGTGCTTGCTGTTTTGCCCTGTTGGAATTCTTACTCACTGCATCACCAAAGCTCTAACTAGTAGCCCAGAAAAGAAACAGCATAGGACTCATTAACCAATGTTTTAGGCCTTCTTATGTTATCCGTAAATGATCAGCCAGCGCGTGAACTTATGAGCAAAGTGTAAAGGTTTTAAGTCAATGAATACATAAGCTATTTCAATAACTTGTTTCTAAGATGGATGAATGTACAAGATTTCTTCCTTTAGTTCCACTCCAAACTTCTGATTTACTGCATCCTTAACTAAGCGTATGAGCTCAAGCATGTCTTGAGAAGTTGCAGAACCACAATTTATGAAAAAGTTGGCATGCTTGTTTGAGACCATGGCTCCACCAACTCTCAACCCTTTCAACCCACTTTTCTCTATCAATTCTGCAGCAGAAACACCCATAGAAGATGGATTTCGGAAAACTGAACCAGCACTTCTCTGCCCCAAAGGTTGTGCCCTCCATCTTCTGCAAAGAAACCATCTTTATTGTGGTTGAAAACTGACATTCAAAATAAGAACAGGCCGGACCACATTAGAAACAATTACCTAGCCAAGTATTCTTGCTGCATTTCTCGTGCAGTTTTAGAAAACTTTAGCCGGAATGTAACTGCAGTAATGGATGCCAAGTCTTTCATTTCTTGAAATGGTGATAATCTGTAGCCAAAATTTAACTCTCTTCTATTCAGCATCCTAGATTCGCCTTCATTTGTGATGATCTCTATGCTATCAATAGCAGCAGCTGTTTCCTTTCATAATCAATGTCAATAAGAAAATTAGTAGAAAAAGAAGGATGCATTCTCAGTATCATATTTGAAAATCAATGTAATCTCACAAGAGCGATGTGCGAAGGTAGAGAGGTTGTTTCCGAAACACCTTCAGCTCAAGGACATCAAATCAAAATAATCATGAACGCGAAATGTGACTGTGAAGAAAACATGACAACTAATTGGAAAAGCAATACACACATACAGAAAAAGAACAAGAACAACAATGGCATAAAGAGACTTAAAATCTCACATCTATTGTAAGCTTTTTAATTTACCTGCCCATTTGCTCCTGCATTCATGTAAGCAGCTCCACCAACAGTCCCAGGAACACCAGCAGCAAATTCAAGCCCAGAAAACCCTTCATTTGCAGACATAACTCCAAAGCGATTAAATGGGTATCCACTTCCGACCCGGTATACTCCAGATTCTATCTTCTCCAACAACTCAATTCGATTGAGAATTACGCAGCCATTAAAACCCATATCATCAAACAAACAATTCGAGCCTTTACCCAAGATCATAAATCTCATGGATTGCTCATTACAGTACCTGCATTGTATAATTAGGGCAGATTTTAAAAACTACGAGTCAATCAATCGATTATGATTCAATCTCCCAAAGTTGAGGGATAAAGAAATGGAACCTGACAGCCGAAACAAGTTGGGTTTGGTTAAAGACTTGAACGAAGTAATTACAAGGGCCTCCAATTCCCCATGTGGTAAGATCACTGAGTAGCTTCTTCTTGCAAATAAACTGTAACCCAGTTGAGTTTTGAGCTGGTTCTTGCTTGTTGAAGCTGCAGCTGCTGCTGCTCTGAACATGAAAAGAACGTAACTTTCTTGATGGTTGTAGAGGGAGCTGATAGCTTCCCATATGCGACGCCATTGGAGAGGCTTTATTTGTGAATTTTCCAGTTTGGGGTTTTCATGTCTCTTTCTGATGAGCAATGATGGCAGATTAAAGGGTTCTGCTGAAGTGGTGGGGTCGTGGGGATGCTTTCTTATGGCAAACTGGTCTTAAACATACTATTATTTATATGGGATATAAGGGCACAAGCTACCCAAAATCTCAATGAGACATCTAAATTTAATTAAGATTTTACTACACTATGTACTCATTTTTGTGCTCTCATTACATAGCACCTTACGAGACTGCACTGTTATCAGGCGTGTGGAGCATTACTTTTTCCCTTTATGTTTACCTTAACTTTGTGGAGCACCTGACTTATATATTCTTTTATGTCCAGCTCAAGGCAGAAAGACAACAAGGAAAAAGTCCCTTATCCTTGGAACTACAGTACCTGTTGCTGCAACAATTCTGATAATGGTCGCGCTGTTTTTCACGTGGATGATTCGGTCAAGAAAGCAACATGCGATTAAAAACAATAAATCCGATTTCCCCCCCTAGAATGAGACATCAAAAAATCACATAGTATGAGCTTCTCCAAGCAACAGAAAATATTAGTCAGTCCAATCTAGTAGGAAGTGGAAGTACTGGTACAGTCTACCAAGGTACATTTTCTGTCTTTGCAATCAAAGTTTTTGATATGCAATCGATTCAGAATGTCAAATTTCAAGCAATGTAAGACATAGAAACTTGGTCAAGATAGTGTTGACTTGCTCAAATGTGGATTTTACAGTGATTTTGCTGGAGTACATGCCTAACGGAAGACTCAATATAATGATCGATGTAGCACTAGCCATGAAGAATCTTCATCATATGATTATACAACACCCATTGTGCACTGTGATATGAAGCCAGGTAACGTGCTTCTTGATCAGGATCTTACTGCTCATGTTGCAGATTTTGGAATTGCAAAAATGTTGGCAGAAGAAGGAAACATTGCTCAAACCAAGACTCTCGGAACTATCAGCTATATTGCTCCAGGTATGATAATTTCTTGAATTGCTGTTGTCCTATGCTTATTACTTCTTCCCTTTATGTTTACCATAACTTTGTTTTTCATCCCCACTCTCTGTTTCAATTTGTTTGTCTTACTTTCTTTTATAATTTGTTTCAGAGCGAATATTTTTTTTCTTTTTTTGGTAATACTTAAATTCTAAGTTTCCAGGGGACATTTTTTAAGCCCACAAGATTTAAATATCTTTGTTACAAACAAATTGAAATGGAGTGAGTAATCGTTTCTATAGAAGATTTATATAATCAAAGAACCTACTTTTATGATAATTGAATAGCGACATTTTGACTTAAAAAGGCTATAGGGAAGTTGGATTATTGATTATTTTACTTCTTTTTCTTCTTTGACTTGAAAGATAGTAGGAATATCTTATATGATTCTTTGAACATTTAAAAAGCTAAATTGATAGTTACGTTTAAGCAATCTGAAAATTAAAAATTAAAGAAACCATTTTTTGGTGATTGAGGCACAATTATGAATAAGAAGAAGTTCTTAAGAAGTGATAAAAAAATATAAATAAGAAATAAAATAATATCAAAACATGTTTGGTGTGGCAAAACAAGTTCTCAATAAACAGAACTTGTTGCGTTTATAGTTGAGATCCATATTCTGATTAAATTAATACTACATGACAGCAGCACGTAAGCTCATCAAATTAGAGAGCTGTAAAGAATATTAGATTACTCTTGTAGAGAATCCAATTATTTTATCAAAAATAAATAAAATCTGCTGGACAGTGGAAAAGTAAACAGAAAGGAAAAGAATACAATTAAATAAATTTTCTTGAAATCCTATTATAATGTCATGGCTTTGAACTTTGAAACCCAGCAAGTTTTCCAGGAGGCATTCATTTGGTGGTATTCTCAAGATTTGATTTTTATTTGTTGTAGCATTGAAAACAAGGGCACCGAATTGTGTAAGGAGTGAGAAAGCAGCAATGGGGAAGTCAGTGAAGTTTGAAGGTATAAGTGAGGAATTGCAGAAGATAATAGATGCTAATATGGACAAAGTGGAAGCAAAGGCGTATCGCTAGGGATGCTTTTAAGGATATTCAATTGTCAATTCATTTTTGTCTCTTTAAGGTACTGCTTAGTCGATTGGAGAATTAACCAAGATATTCGTTCATCCAACTGATTTAGCTAAAAATAGATGTTATACTATATGTATAATCTATGTATACAGACTAGAAAAGTAAACGGTAAATTTGTCTGACTATTTGTGTAGAGATCCTATTTGATGCTGTTAGTTGAAAAAGACTCATTTTCAGATTCAAAGATTGGATTTTGATTGCTTCTGACTTAATGGACTGGATATAATAAGAGAATTCATATGGTCACACCGCTAGTTTGGGATTGAGGCATAGCTACTTATCAAGAAAAGCTTTTGTGATTGTGGAATAGATATTTTACTTGTCAAAATGATGTTTGGGATTGAGATTTAGTTAATTGATTGATTAGTTGACTGAACAGATTTTCTTCTGTTGATGCAAGTAGAAAGTGTTCCTTAGAACTAAGAGATTGATCATTGTCAACTTCAAAGGAATTGACATAGTTGCGTGGAACCTAAAGTCTTGCTCTATAGACTGCAATCCCGCTTAAATTTCCCCCCTTTTCTTGATAAAATCGTATAACTTGCACATTACACCGAGATTATATGAAGCATTTACAAATAGATCATTTTGAAGAGAAGGGATTTAAGTTGTTCACTATTCATTCAAACCGTAAGTTCATGTTTGACCTTTATATTCAAGGGCATAACAAGACTGACTATTCCCTTTTCTGTCATTAGTCCATTAAAACATCAGTAATACATCTTACTTATTGACAGCAGCAGTACTTCAATTTTCCTAATCTAAGGGCAGAAAAATCAAAGCTTTACTAACTCAAAAACACCTTTATGTAAATTGCCTTAGTCCAGTTTACTATCCAATGGAAATCAAGTGATTTCAGTTCTCTTTCCTCTTTCAACTCTTAAAATAATGAAAGACACTTGTGTTTGATGTATTTTGAGGAATGGTATCATTTGTGTGATTAAAAATTTGTTTACTTATGTGCAATCGAGTTATGACAGTTGAGACTTTATAAACACTTCTTCAACTTTCTAATTTTTCTGCGACTGCAGATAGTGGTCATGAGGAACTGAATCCTTTTAGAAAGTGTCATGTTACTTACCTGTTCTTAATTTGATTTAATGATTCTTTATTTGCTTTCACGCAGATGCCACATGCTGGATTGAAGATGAAGGAGGTACACTTTTTTTCTTACATCCTCATTTTCCACTCTTAAAAATTCAAGTTATTCTTGAAGCATCCTATTTCTTTTCTACAACAAAATGATCTCGTGTACTTTCTTGCAGAGTGAGATTATGAACTTGCCTTCTTTTCTTTTTTTTTCTTTGAATTCTAGATGAAGTTAATATGACATCTCATAGTTACTTCAATGCCTTTTCTAGTGCAACAAGATTATTTTCTATGTGTGCAACAATATCTTTAACACTTGTAACTT